CTCTTTGTCTTCCTTCCGTTTCTCACAGCCAAACAAGCAATCAAACCACGCGATTGCTTCAAATTAACAGACGGCTTTTCTCCTCTGTACCAAAAACGCCATCGGATCATCTTAAGAGTAAGCCGTTTTGTTTTGTCATTGTTTAATATCTTAAGTAGTTTTTATGCTGTGGCCAGGCTGACAAACTATTAGATATTTCATTTATGATTGATCTTTTGTTTTGTTTATTGATCTTTGTGAAGCGGGTTTGAAGTTTGGTTTAAGTTATTGTGCATGAAAGTTAAGCCACTGACTGAAAGTTTGAGAAAACGTACACACCTCCCACACACAATGTTTTTCAGTGTGGTGGTGAGAGGAGAAAGTTACCTCCCACACACATACTTGTTTTAGTGTTGGTAGGGGACAAGACTAAAACACACACTTATTGGGTCAGATTGTTTTACATTATCATTTCATTGTTTCATTGTTTGTGTTTGTTTGATAAAATATATTGGTTAATATTGATTGGCTAAATGCTTCAGAAGGAGCTGAAGTGATTATATTAGTTTCTAAATGTATTGCCAATTAAGATTTTGTCTCAGGTGATTTGTTTGTGTTCATATAAAAATTAACTGCAGCTCGTTAAAGATTCACGGAACGTTTAAACAAGATTGATAAGAGGTGTGGATTCATTGTTCCCCTGTTAAAGGGGTGGTGCCCCGTGGATATCCTAATATCCTAATTAATTAATAAATCGGTAAATATTTCCATATTTACGAATTTGTTGATGAATCTAAAAAGTAAGTAAAAGCTTACAAATGATTTGTTGATTAATAATCACAACAGTGGGGACAGTCAGATGGCAGATGCTATTTTGCACAATGTGATATAAAATAGAAGTAGAATGAGTTTGTAAAAGACAAAAGGGGAAAAAAGAAAGGAACGTGCTGCTGACCTAAATTACTTAATACGTTCACATAATAATTCATTTTAAAATACAAGAAGTTAAAAATCGATTTTCTTTGATTTCACCTTAAAAAAAAAGTATTGTAATTGGAAAACTTTAGAATTTGGCATCAACATATTTACATGATGAAAGCCCTCAATAATAATTATCTGTCTGTCAGTATTTAAATATTGACAAAGTCATAAGTTACTGCACTTAACGTGGTAAATTGTCTTATATAGCACCTTCTGGAGTTCAACAACCCCCAAAGGCACTTTACAGCACACAGTCATTCACCCTGTAGCGGTGTGCAGAAGGGGAGGGGCCACAGGGAGCCCGCCGGTGCGCGCCGGCTGATTATAAAGGACGTCGCCGCAGGTATGAGGGGACAGAGAGAGACTCTGAGTCTGAGCATGGCAGCTACGCCGACCTGTGAGTGAGGGGCAAATAACGCTGTGTTACCGAGCAAGAAGCAAAGGTGTGTGTCTGTGTGTGTGAACCCCATCAAATAGCAGGTTTACTGCTTCACACCCATTCATACACAGCTGGTACATTGCAGCCACAGCCGCTCTGGGGCGCCACCAGGGCTCTCCGACCACCTCCGGGGGCAAGGAGGGTCTTGCTCAAGGACACGACGGCAACAACTTATTGGGGCTAAAACCTGCAACCATCTGGTTACAGGACAGATAAACAACTCCTCTGCCGCCATCGAGAGTTAGTGCTAATTATTTAATCCAACCTTTAGGTCTGGAGATTTGACACATAAAGCGTCCCAAAAACCTAAATATAAATAAATAAATGTAGCTTATTGATCGTTACAAATGCAAATCTGATCTTTGATGTGCCATCAAACCCTAAAGACTGTTTTTTTAATATCTAAATTAAGGCTTTGCAGTGTGTTACGTATCAAAGGGGTCCATTTTCACTGTCCATTTGACACAGCATAACCTTTCATACAGGCCAGAAACTGCAAAGTCAAGGTTGCAGCAGCTGGAGGGTCCAGACGCACACATCAACCCTTCGCTCACTTATTGTTCCTCAATGCAGACAAACAATCTGTCCCAAGGTGTGCGTAAAAGCCAGACTGCTGAATTCCTCACTATCTACTGGAAGCTCCTACAGGATTTTTCAGTTATAAGTTAAATAATCATATGTGATGACTGGACAAGATGTTTGAATAAAAGGTTTGAACAACTTGTGCTTAAATCAATGAATTTGAAATGAATATTGATCTTAACGATCCATTTATTTCATAAACCAGTATGTGTTTACACTCATACACATTACAACAAGATACATGTTAAGGTTAATATTCACCTCACATAAGAGTTTTGAGCATTTTCATTTACAAAGTGTTAAAACCTTTTTGTATCGGAGGGAGGGCGTGGTTTTCTGAGGGAGGTTGGTAAAACTCCAAGCGTGTCACATTCGGAGTTGCCAAAACTTGACCAAAAGTCATAACATGGTGATTTAATAAAACAAGAATTATTTCCCGATTACTTCGGTTTCTAGCTGATTCTCGAACCGGCCAAGTCGGGAACAAGCATCGCTGGGACATCTCTTTTGACCTACAAAAAGCCTCTTTGCACGCTGACCCAGCCAGACGGCTCTCTTTTTAAGAGCTACACTTCCACCTTGGACGCAAACAAGCGTTCCAGCTACTGTTGCGACCCGGACGGCATCTCAAGACTGGACAGGTTATATCGGAGCTAATCTACGGGCTCCAGGTACCGTGAGGTCCACCCGACTTCTGACAGTCCGGATCTGCGCTAGGTGTCTCCACCAGGGTTTGAAGAGACAACAGATTATGTCTGATGCTGTTTTTATAACCTAACTCTAGTTTATGGCAGCCAACAAATTCTTTTACACCCAGATTTCACAATTTCTTTCAGATACAAAGAAGGTTCTGCTAAACATCTAGCTTACACCACACCACCTCACACATCACATTACATATCCACCACATCACATCTCATTATTCATATCTTGTCACTGCAATAATCATTAGTTTAGGAAAAAGAATAAAATTCCTTTTACAGGGTATCTGCAGGTTTAAGGGACTTTTTAAGACCTTTTTTAAGGCCACTGACCAAATTTAAGCTATTTAAGCAGGGCAGCAGTAGCTCAACAGGTTAAGAGGGTAGTCCAGTAATCGGAAGGTTGCAGGTTAGATCCCGGCTCCGGACAAAAAATTCTGCTGTTGTGTCCTTGGGCAAGACACTTAACCCACGTTGCCTGCTGGTGGTGGTCGGAGGGACCGGTGGCGCCAGTGCTCGGCAGCCTCGCCTCTGTCGGTGCGCCCCAGGGCAGCTGTGGCTACATCGTAGCTCATCACCATCAGTGTGTGAATGTGTGTGTGAATGGATGAATGATACACTGTAGTGTAAAGCGCTTTGGAGTCCTTACTCTGAGAGGCGCTATGCAAGTGCGGGTCATTTATCATTTTTAAAAATTTAATTCAAGCTATAATTTCCAGCTATTGCCTGGAACCGGTGCCAACCACGCCGCGATCGTGGTATTAGCCATCCAGTTACCATTAAACTTGCACTTCCCCATGGCGCAAGCTACCACTAGCTTAACCAGCTAACGTGCTCATCGAAAAATAGCCCCCTTTCACAACCAACTGAATGTGTACGGTTCCGCTTACGGCAACATCGTACACAAAAATTGCTCAACACTAACTAGAAATTCACGAACATTGTATAGAAATAAAGAATCTTGTTTATCGGGTCTTTGGTAATTTAAGACCTCTGGAAACTGTATTTAAGGATTATTTGTCATTTTTAAGGATTTTTAAGGCCTTAAATCTGGAAAAGCTAATTTAAGACTTTTTAAGGACTCGTAATACGAAGTGTGTTTATGGTCCTTGAACAAGTAAAGGTAACTATAATCTTCTGATTAAGCTTCAAAGATCCATCAGGTTGATATTTCATATTTATGTGGAATCATCACACCTTATTGGTCACAATTAGTTAGCAGTTGTCACGCTACAAAGTGTGAACGCTACAAGTGCAAGCAGGTTTTCTCTGTTCTGAGTTGTGCCCTAACTGTTGCAGCCGTTTTCAGAAACACACAATGTGCACCTGTCACGCTCACCTCAATTCTGTGATCCGGTCCAGTTTCTTTCACCTGAGACGCCTTGCAAAAATCAAGCCTATGCTGTCGAGAGCCCACCTGGAGCGGGTACTGCATGCCTTTGTAATTTCTAGGCTTGATTACTGCAATTCTCTCCATGCAGGGTTGTGTCAGTCAACACTGCGTCGCCTACAGGTTGTGCAGAACAGCGCAGCCAGGTTCCTGACTGGGACCAGGAAACGGGACCACATCAGTCCGGTTCTGGCCTCCCTGCACTGGCTTCCGATTTGCTATCGCTCACAATTCAAAATCCTCGTCTTTGTTTATCATTTCTTCCAGGGTGGTGGTCCCCCCTATCTGGCCACTCTCCTGAACAGACATTCCCCATCACACGCTCTGCGCTCCTCTGACCAAGGCCTGCTCGCTGTCCCTCGTTCTAGGTGTCGTACTCGCCGGGACCGGGCTTTCTCAGTCCTAGCACTGTTACTCTGGAACCAGTTGCCACCCTCAGTTAGGTTGTCCCCTTCTCTGCCAGTCTTTAAGAGTCGCCTAAAAACACACCTCCTCCGCTTGGCGTTTCAGAAACATGTTTGATTTTGGCCCTCGTTTATGTTGAATTTATTTCACAGTTTTCATTGGTTCACTCAATCCAATTGTGTTTCACACATTTGTCCTGTACCAGAATGTTTCATCTATCTTGTAATTTGTATTTTGTAATTTGTATTTTGTAATTTGAATTGCTTTTATTGTTGATTTATTCAATATATTTACCTACAACTGTACCATGTTCAGCGCTTTGGGCTTCTTGACAGGGTTGCGGAAGGCGCTTTATAAATAAAGCTTTGATTGATTGATTGATTGATTGAAATTAAATCAAAACACGCAACTCATTCAGGTGAGGTGTTTCTTCTTCATGCAACAAAACAGGGAAGCACATTTTTAAATGTGCCGCTGAACAGTTCCCCTCGGAAATTCCCACGATAGGCTGTGCTGTTCATACCTCGCCTGCTGGATGGCCTCCACCCATTCGTCACACTCGCTCTCCTCATCTGTCCGCAGCTCCAGAGGTTTCTGTCCATCGTGACCAAACACAACCAGGAAGTAGTGCTGGAAAGACACAAAGACAAAAAAAGTGGATTAAGCTTTTGATCCTTGAACCAAACGTAAATGAGAGGCTCATTTTTGTTCCTAGCCAGAGGATTTATGAAAAAGATTTTTTTCTTAATGAAATCATTTCAATAACAAGTCGCATACCTCACTAGGATTGGTGCGAAACAGAAAGAGACATGGGAGGAGGGAGGATCTGTGACTCAACCGTCAACTGCTGACTGAAATAAAACATCCAGTGTTGTCTGTGCGTCTCTTCTTCACCAGCCTATCATCATCACCGTCAGTTGGCCTGCTCTCTTCCCCCTCTATCACGCCTCTGTTTCTCCTAATATCCTCGTGAACGCTCGTGCAGATCTGTCTTGTGAAAAAGTACTCTCCCACACACATGCACCTGCAGAATCACGGCTTTGCAGTGGCGCTCACACACACACACACACACACACACACACTGAGCTACATGGGAAGTGATAGTGGGCTCTTATTCAAATGGTCATGTCCTGGAGCAACGGGTTTCCAAAAGAGCTGCTATTCTTAGTCAAGGAAGCCAGAGAAGATTAAACTCTGTGTGGACTTTCTGTCCTCCTCTTCTCCTCACTCCATCCAGCCAAATACCCCCCCCCCCCCTCTCTCTCTGCATTTCACCTATCTTCCCACTCCACCTCCTCTGCCCTGCTCAACAAGCGCCCTCTCTTCTCTTTTTGTCAGAACCCACTCCTCCTCCTCCTCCGCCATCTCCACATCCCTTCATCCTTTCATCTCTTTGTGTCCCCCTCAGTGAGGATTCAGTGAACCAAATGGAGTCCAGAGGAGAGATGTTTGCCCTGTAGCTTGATGGATGGGCTTTAGCCCCTGCAGAGGGGATGGGGCTGAGAGATGAGGACAGATTATTAGAGCTCACAGACCCTCCTGCATCTCTGTATCCCTGCTTATTATGTATCTGTCATTTGATTTGACTGCCTGCCTGTATTTTACATCATCAGCAGTATAATCTGAGATCCATCAGTCTTTGACAGGGCGAGGAACAGAAATAGGAGAGAAGAGGGAGCTGTTACATAATAATTCTTAACCAACTACATATTTATAAATTGAGTTACCGGTTAACAAGATAGCATTTCCATGGCAACGCAACATTTGACGCTTCGGCTGCATTTTACACGCTCATTCTCTGCTTTTTGATGCTTCTTCCTCTCATTTAATGCTTCTATGGATCCGTTCTGCAGTTCCAGACGTGAACATGAAAAACATCCTCAAATAGTGAAACACATTTGCTAATGCAGACGAAAGAGGTCTAGATCTGAGCTCATGCATGCGGAAGATAAAAGGTTTGCATAAAGCAGGTTGTGTGGGTGAAGGCAATGCCTTAAATCATTCCAAAAAAGTTTGCAAAAGCATTATTTATGAGCACATATCTAAAAAAAATATGTTTCAACTGCATTTATCAATGCACACAATGACTAGAATTGTTTTTCTGAGTCAGAGGACTCCAAAGTGCTTTACACTACAGTCAGTCATTCAACCACTCACACACTAGTGAGCTACGCTGTAGCCACAACTGCCCTGGGGCACACTGACAGAAGCAAGGCTGCTGTACACGGGCACCACCGGTCCCTCAGACCACCATCAGCAGGTAAGAGTGAAATGTCTTGCTCAAGAACATAATGACTGACGTGGATGAAGCCTGGGTTTGAACCGGCAGCCCACTGGTTACAGGGTGAACTCCGAACCCCTTAGACTGAGTCCCTCGATCTATATTCTATCATCTGTTGTTTGAATCTATTCTTGCACAATTGTCATTTATAAATACCACACACACTATGGAATGTTATTAATACCGAGATATGACTTCTATCACACACAATATAGTTCATAGTAATAGACAATATAACATGGCACAGCCTTCATTTTTGCATTTGGTGAAGATAATTGGAACATTTACCTTAAATGTTCCAATTACGAAAAATTATATTTACATATATATATATATATATATATATATATATATATATATATATATATATATATATATATATATTTGTATTTGTGTAGTTGTTGCAACCATAGGCTGCACAAAAAAACAGGTTCACTCTGGGTTGACTCCCGCTGGGTTTGGAGAGTGAGCAAACCCACCCAATATGGCGGCTACGCTGTTACGTTCTCCAGCACCCGATGGGGCGACTACATCAGAGCAATTCAGGGAGACACAGACCGAATCCGGTGATCTCCTTAACTGTGAACGTTTGAAATTTAGTAACTGATCTAGATTGTAGATCTTTAGGCCCTGTCCACACGTAGCCGGGGATCTGCCAAAACGTAGATATTTTTTTCTACGTTTTGGCCTGTCATCCACACGAAAACGGATCTTTTAAAAAACTCCGGCCAAAGTGAAGATCTGTGTTTTCTCCGTTTTGGGTGTCTGCGTGTGGACGGACAAAACCGGAGTTTTAAGGTCCGCAACGTCACTTTCCGCGACAAAAAACTGCTGACATCACGTGTGCGACCTGTGTTTACACTAGCCGACAGCATGGACGCCCTCCGAGCTGCGCTCTGTCACTAACCGATCCATCAATTGTCCAAGCGCTTTTTGCTTGTTTGTTTTTGCAAGCGGAATTACTGCTCCTTGCGGAAGACCACAGACGAAGGACGAGGTTAAGAACGGGGGAAGTACTGCCGCCTACAGGTCTGGCATGTCCTTAACAACGTATTTATCCGGGTACGTGTGGACAGTTTTTTTTAAAACGAGGTGGTGTGGATGCAAGTTTTTGGAGGGGCGGATATTCGTTTTTAAAAAACCCCGGCTACGTGTGGACTAGGCCTCAGTTTGTCATTTGTAGTTTAGTTTGTTTATAGTTATTGAGCTGTGGGCCATTATTATTATTATTTTTTTGCTTTAATTAACAGTTTTCATATTTAAATTTAGGTTAGTGTTTTTACACTCCCTCGTTTAACAAGAGGGAGTAGTTTTAACATTTTGTATAAACTTGTATATATAAACCTTTTGTAAAATAAAACATTCATACCATCACTAGACACCTCATTAGTTTACTCACACTGCTTCTTTTTCACTGTAGATAAACCCACCTTTTATTTTCTCATTTCACTCTGTTGTACTTACACACACAGACTGCTAGACTGCCAGTGGGGTTGTAAAACAACTTTAAAATTTGTAAAATCTTTGTCAGTCAGAAGATGTTTTGCAATGACCAAGATCAGGAATGGCATCATTTAATGTTTGTTTCGAGTCAGTGGATTACAAGCAGCAAATTCTAACATTTTCCTGTTGGATTATGTACAAAGTAGTAGTTTCTGAGCCACACTAGTCCAGACTAGGCCACTGGAAGCCTTTGTAGTGCCCAGCTTCATCTGGGAAGGCTGCTCTGATGGCATTCGCCACACAAGATGGCAGAGGTCTGTGGATGTGTTGCCCAATGATGCCATGTGTCCATCGGATCATCTGTCTATAAGCAGCATAACGATACTGTCTGCAAAATGAAGAAGTGGAACTGTCAGCAATGTTACAGATTTGTCTTTCATTGTTAGTAGGAAATTTTAATGACTATTTTCTGTTGCATTTTGTCCAATATTGATGATGACAGTGATGCACTGTTGCTAAATTTCATACTTATGACATTAGTGGATAAATTTGACAGATCAGTTGCTGCTGTGGCCCCCAGACTCTGGACCTCTCTCCCCCTGAGTCTGAGATCAGTGGACTCAGTGGTCTCCTTTAAAAAGCAGCTGAAGACTCACCTGTTCAAGCTGGCTTTTGTATGACCTTCTTCACCTCTCTCTCTTTATTCTGCTCTCCCCACCTATTCCACCTTCCTCAGGATCCACTGATTTCCCTCTTTCCTGTTCACTCTCTCTCTTTCTTTACATTTTTAATCACAATTGTCTATTTTTTGCTCATTTTAAATATATTTGTAATCATTTTCTAAATAATTTTTTATATTTTACAATCTTTGTTTTTGTAAAGCGCCTTGTGAATTTTATCTTGAGAGGCGCTATAGAAAAGATTTCTTCTTCTTCTTCTTCTTCTTCTTCTTCTTCTTCTTCTTCTTCTTCTTCTTCTTCTTCTTCTTCTACTGAAGAATACCACTTCCATTTAAACCAGCAGCTTAATCTGTGTTAATGTAGGAGGTCATCGTGTTTGAATTATTGACAATTTTCATGTATGTTGCGTCCTGCTTTTAAGTTTCTTTCTCATCTTCCTTTGCCGCAGCAGCAGAAGCCTCAGGCAGTCATTAAAGTGTGATGTTATTGCACCCCGTAAGAGTTTCTGCATCACACTGGACCCCCTGTTTGCACTGCAATGTTGAATGCAGTGATTCTGCACTGTGCGCTCATTAGAAGAATACGTTTTACCTGCAGACACACTGTTTACAGTGAGAGCACCACACTTCACCTGAACGCAGCTCAGAGTCTTTCTGAGCCGTGAACGCTCACTTTCTCGTCTCCGCAGCAACATTCAGGACCACAGGCCGGTTCTCCCTTCAGAAGAGCCAAAACACATCTCACTCTGATATTTCATAAAGATCATTAAAATAGACCTTTTGCTGCTCTTTTACTCTTCTTGTCACAAACAACCACTCATCTGAAACCACTTTTATCTTCTCATGTAAGAAACGGATGTCACGTTACAACTGTGACATAAAGGAGCGTGTTTCATCAACGCTGAGAGAGACACGAGCACAAACAAGGGAAGCATATTTTAGAATTCAGATGCAGCAGTGCATTAAAAAAAACATGATGTGTGTGGATTTTTCTTAGTAAAAATGAAAACAAAAAGCGAAAACAAAGACCTGTGCAAAATAGATTCAACAGCAGACAGGACAAAACAACAGTTGGGAACCACGAATGATCTGAGACTAAAATAGTCACTAATGATGCAACAGTGCCGTCTGCTTTGGTATCTGCACCCATTACAGACCGAACCGCCACAGATGGACTTTGTTTAGTTCCCTGGTTTTCACTCCCAGCCTCTAAAAGCTGGACGCCTT